GGGGGTAGAGTTGCTTCTCCAAGCAGGTGAAATGGACTGCCGGGTAGGGAAAGGTGGGGTCAGCTGGGAGCTGGCGCGGGTCCTTTACAGGCGCCATCATCGCCACGCCCACTGCCTGAGCCTGTGAGCTGTCAGCTGGCGGGGACGTGTCCCCCCTCCCTTCCTGCTTGATCTCTCGCTGCCGACCCCATCCTCCTAGGTCTCCCCTTCATCTCCCCACCTCCCCTTCCTGCTTGGCTGGACCCCAGCCCTCCCTCGGGAGGGCTCGCCACCTCCTCCCCCAGGAAGCCCTCCTGGAGCTCGGCTTGGCTGGAGCAGCCTCGGTGGTAAAGGCTGCTCCTGCTGTCTCCCAGACTGCCTTGGTGCTTTGGGGAGCTGTGGCTGTGAGTCGGCCACGCCACCCACACTGAAAACAGAAGCGTAGTCCCAAAGGTTGACATGCTTCATTGCCAGGAACGGACGCTCGGTGCACCCCTGTGATGCAGTGCTGTAGTACCTGCACTTGCCCTGCTCTGCCCTAATTGTGGCTCTCTCTACCTTTGGCCAGGGACATGGGCAGTTCTGCTGGGGAGACCACGCACGACTCTCAGATCACTCAGGAGGCCGTCCCCAAGTCCCTGGGGACCTCGGAGCCTTCCTACACATCTGTGAACCGGGGACCACCTCTGGACAGGGCCGAGGTGTACTCCAGCAAGCTCCCAGACTGAAGCCCGCCTGGCCTCGCCCCTCCCGGCTGGCCTGGCCCCGGCAACCTGCCCGGAAGGCGCCGAGCAGGCCGGGTTGGTCCTACTGCAGGAAAACACTTCATAAAACCTTCCAAGAAAACCAGTTCAGTTGTAATGTGCAGCGTGGATGGCGAATAGAAACGAAGGAGCCGTTCGTGTTCTCGGGGAGGGGTGGACGATCTCTCTGGAGACTGGAGGTGAAGCCGGGCACCAGTGGCTCACACCTGTAATCCTAGCTACACAGGAGGCTGCTGTCTGAGGATCATAGTTCAAAGCCAGCCAGGGCAGACATCTTCCAAAGTCTCATATGTCCAACTAAGCTAGAAGTGGAGGTATGGCTGAAGTGGTAGAGCACCTGCCTTGAGTGGAAAAAGCTAAGGAGAATGCCTAGGCCCTAGGTGCTGGCACAGCTCGGCCTCGGGATGAGCCCAGGCCCTCAGGGTGACATCATAGCGAATGGGATCCAGTCCTTACGGAAAAGACCGCAGAGGAAGACAGAGCCCGCCTGGACTCTCGTGACCTCTGCAGCCTCAGAGTGGCAGGGGTGGGGCGGGGTAGGAAGCGGGGGACCCCCGTCAGAACCCCCTGTCAGTTTCCAGACCCTGGGAGGTAAATGTGGTTTCCGGCTGGTTTGTTTGGGGTTTAAACTCAGGTCTCGCATTTTCTGGGCAGGTCCTCTTACTGTTGAGCCGTGCCGCCGATACGGTTTGCTTCTAGCCTGGGCCTGCTCTGCCTGTGTCAGACTTCCGGTGGTAGTTAGGAGAGTGGGTGTGCACCCTCGTGCCCAGCTCTCTGTTGAGATGAGGTCTTGGTGAGCTAATGCCCAGGCTGGCCTCAAATGACCATCCTCCCAACCGCGGCCTCTCAACTGCTAGGATTACAAGCATGGGCCACCAGCGGCTCTCTTTTCTCCGCGCTGGATGCCTGCAGCTCTTTGTTAGGGCATCCTGACGTGGGCAGAGGGTGCTTTGAAGGGAGGCAGAGCAGGAAAGGCAGGAGTAAAGCTGTGGGAAGAGCGGCCTAAAGTCAGGCAGCAGGAGAGAGCGCAGGGGCAGTGCGGGCAGGGGCAGCACGTGTCAGCCAGAGGGGCAGCGTCCCTGGGTGGAGAAGAGGGCGCTGGCCCCCAAAGTCCCCTGGGCTGGATCCTCCAGACTTCTCGGGCCTGGGCAGAGATTCCCCTGGCCTCTGTCTCTGTGTTACCACCCCCACCCCTGCCCCGCCCCCAAGAGAGAGGACCAGCTCCCAGCCTTCCCCGGCTGAGGCTCCAGCTGGGCCTGGCCAGGGCAGAGCTGCTTGGAGTCCTGTGCTTGGTACAGCTGTTTCACGACACGCCTGTGTTTACTTTGTATTTGTGGTGAAGTTCACCTAGCACAGAACTGCCATTCTTTTTGTTTTCTGGGTCGTGCCTCGTAGCCTGCGCCGCCCTGGAAGCTCCCACCTCCCGAGGGCTGGTATTGGTGTATGCGCACCTGTACCCAGGCTTTTCTATGTCTTCTCCGATTCTAGGGCTGGTATTGGTGTATGCGCACCTGC